TTTAGTTTAGTTCCAAGATAGACTGTAAAATTGTCTATTGATCCTGAAATGTTATTATATCATATACATGTTGTGATTTTTGTTTTCTTTTCAGCAAGGCTATGTATTGATCAGCTAACCGTATTTTGTCTCTGCTATTATTAGGAAGTTTCTGCAGTTTCCTCTGTGGTACATCTTATTATAACATCCAGTAATAAATATATATATATATATATATATTTTTTTTTTCAGAAATCCAACATGCACTTTACTTTATTAGGCATTTGTGATCACCAGCTCTCTTTATTATTTTGGCATTTCAATTTTAAGCTATAATATGATGTCATCTTTGGAGCCATAAGACCTGAGTAACAATCCCGGCTGCAGTTATGCAACCCTTATCAAAACATTCTCATTTTCCCCAGGAAATGATTATTAGATTCCTCGTCCATAAAGTAGGACTTTTAGTACCTTATTGTGTTATTAAATAGATTAAATATCTTTTAAAATAAAGTAGAAATATACATTCACGTCAGTTACCCTTTTCCAAGGACTCACAAATGCCTAGGGTCTCCAGTAGAACCCAGTATTAGAGAAGTTTCGGAGACGTGATAGGTCACCTTTATCTGCCACTTTGCCTGACACGGCCAAGAGGGCAGGGTATGCAGCTCATCAAAGGCTGTCCCAATCCTTAGAAACCACGTGAGTCCTATGTTCCCACAGCANGTTTCTTCTACTTTGTCCTAGACTGTCAGTCCCCCTCCTTGCCCAGAAAAAAAAAAAAAAATTATAGTAATTATCATTGATAGAGCTCTTTTGATTGCCTTTAGCTCTTTGATTCCCCTCAAAATATTCCAGTATGTACCATTCTCCCCAGCTGCTCTATGTATGTACCCCTCTTGCTCAACAGATTGCCTTGTTTCCTGCTTCATCGAGAACATTTGAGAACTTAGCATAGGCTTTCCCTAAACTTCCAGCCCTCCCTCCAGCATGCCCACCTACACCCTGACCATTCTGACCATCTTCCCTCAAGTCCCAGCAGATGAGATCTCTCGTTTCTATTCAAGGTCAGCCCCTCCTCTTGTGCTGTCAATCACATCTTCTTTGTCTCCTAGTGGAATTTACTCCACGATTTGTATACCATTTTATCTGTCTTTAATCTGTCCCTTTTTGCTTTCGGTTTTCTTTTCCCTTAACCCCTCAATTTCTTCATGGCCCCTTAACTTTTTTCCTTTCCTCTCATCCAAACTTTACAAAGAATATTTGACCTGTACTGCCCCCATTTATTTTCCTCTTTTTTTTTATCTTCAACTCACTGTAATAGTTATCACCAGAAGTGGCTGTCACCGAGGTTACCCGTGACCTACTATTTCCAAAACTGAGTGGATATCTTCAATCACTTAATCCACTGGGCATCTGTCCGGTGTATGAAACTCTTGTTTACTTCCTTACTCCTAGCACAGCTCAATTCACTGCACTCTGTTCAACACCCCCCACCTCCTGCCTTACTCTCTTGGATTCCATTCCTGCACGGCTTCTCCTGTAGGTTGCTCTTCGTGTTTTCAGCCCTCACGTGTTAGTGCTCCCCAAGGTACGTTCCCCAGTCTCCCCATGGGGAGATCTTCCATTTGAGTTTCTATTTCCACGAAATGCCTAAGTCGTATCTCCCACTCAAACCTATTCCGTAAGATTCAGATTTTAATAGCCAACCGATTCCTAGATATTTGTGCCTGTGTTCCACAGGAACCTAAAGCTAATCATGATCAAAACGGAATTCAGTCTCTCCCAGCTCACGTGTCTGCTTCCACCCTGCTATTCTGCATCTCCGTCATTGTCACCGCTGCACGCTGGGGAGCTGGGGGATGCACACGCCTTGGTCCCTCGTCCCATATCAGTCCCCACGTCCTGCCATTTTTATCTCCTAAATGCTCCTGAATCCAATTTCTTATCCTAATTCCTCATTATCTCTTTTATTACTAGCCCTAATAAGTTTTCCTGCTTTTGTTTTTCTTTTTCCTTCCAGACTAGAGTGATATACAGTATATAAAGAACACCAATCTGCCAAAATCACTTCCTACACTTCCTATCAAAAATCTTTTAATGATGCTTCTTCACCCATACAATAAAGTCCTATCTCCTAAAAAAAAAAAAAAAAAAAAAAAAAAAAAAAAAAAAGAGGCCTTTGTAGAACCTCTACTCCTTTGCTAGCCTCATTTCCTACTACCCACTCTGTCTCAAACTTAACACTCTAGGAAGCAAACTGCCTGCCATTCCCATGCACACACCATGCTAGTTCTTGCCACTCTGCTTCTGGCTAGAATCTACATCCTCTCCTCTCCTCTCCACTGGCCAACTCCTTCTCATCTCAGCTCCATGAATCCTTCTCTGGCTCCCCCTCATTACTAAGGCAGATACGCTTCCCTTCTTTATATTCCTGTAATGTCATACATTTACTCTTTGTGTGTTTGCTCTAAAGTTAGACTGTGAGTTTCTTGAGGGCAGAGACCACACTATGCGTTATGACTTCAGTGTGATGCCTAACACTTCTTAGAAGATGTTTTAATAAGTACTTAATGAAGGGATGAGTAAATGATAAAAGTACTATGTATTCATTCTTGCCATTCCTTTTCATACAGTGTCACTGTGTGGAAGAGACAGTAGTGTTCACCAAATATTCCACAATCTCCCCTACATTCCCCAGCCTTCTAGGGTGCAGGCATGTAAATTGTTCTAGACAATCAGCTATAAGCATAAACGATGTGTGTCATTTCCAGCCCAGGATCATTAAGAGCAGTGGTAAGTTTTCCACGCTCTTTCTTCCCCTGCTTTGGCTCTTCTAGAGGTCCTGAGATGGTGGTATCACAAGATTGTGGGGCAGAAACCCATGCTGGACATGTAGTACAAGTGAGAAGTAACCTGTTGTGTTAAGCCACTAAGATTTCAGGATTAATTTGTTGCCACAGCATAATCTAGATTACCCTTAATAATTCTTATTGTTACAATCTTGCACACTCATCTCTGTCCTATGATATACATGTAAGGTTTTCTTGAATCTTACCCAGTATGCATGCATCCCTTTCTCTTCTTAAGGCTGCATAATGCCTAGGCTTAGGAACAATTGCACCATCTGACTGATGTTTTCCAACTGACCTGCTTGTTGCTATCAGCCCTTTGCCTCAAAGCCTGTGTGTATTGGAGTGTGCTTCCTATACTTGCTATACAATGCATGTTTTCCATCTTTGTCCAGTCTAACATATAGGCAGAGTAGTTCACTCGCTATGATCTAAATGACAGTGGGAGTATTTTCCTACACACAAAAAAATCCCCCACTCACACGTGCCTCTGATTTCATAGCAGAATACCATGTCTCTAACTTTAGATTTTGATCCTCATTATAAAGGAAACTTCTTCCAGGAATTTTACCGTTTCATTGCAATCACAGACTAAAGAGATCAGAGACTATCTCCAAAGTAGGTCTGGAAGTCTCTGAAGCCCTCTTAGTGTGTCAAGGACATGTGTATAACCTCCACTGACTTACAATTACCAATATTCTGATGGTAATTTTTATGTAATTTCTTTCTTTTCCACACGTATTCTGTAAAATGCACTGGCTTTCCTAACTAGGTCCCAAATTTTATTGAACTGTTTGTGTTTTGCTGGTTCAGTAAGTAATAATAATTCTCTCTTAGAAGAAACAGAAAATCTGGCCTCAGATGTGGCTGAGTTCCAGGCTAACATAATGTTACCAAGACTCATCTTTTAGCTCTACTTTATTTGGAAAGACTTTATCCTCAGATGGGCTCTCCCCTTTTTTCCTCATACCTGAAGTTCCAAGGGCTGCACACTCCCATTTTCTAATCCAGCAGAGAAGAGCAAAAGTCTTCTCCCCAGAAGTCCCAGCCAAAGATTCATTGCTTTGTATAAGTTCTGAATGGGACATGTTCCCATCTCTGAATCAATCCCTGTGACAGGTGAATACAGTGCAATAACCAGCTTAGGCCTCTTCACTCCCCTGATGTTGTAAAAAGGAACTGACTTCAAAGGAAGTGCATAGCCTAAGAGTGGGGTAAGGGGATGATTTCGGGAGAGAACTTAGGCCAAGGCCACCACAGGGAGGGTAATAACGCTGGTAGCAATAGCAACCTCTATCCTCTCTTCATAGTCTGCTGCCCAGGAGGTAGAATTTAGACAGCTTCTAGTTAGACAACGAAAGTGTTTCATTATGCACTGTGTGTATAACATGTAGAAAATTCATATGGTCTCTCTCTCTGTTCTCGGAAGAAGAGTTGTTCTGTTCTCCCCTATGCTGCCTTGTGTTTTAGTCATTTATTAGCATTCCTCTCCCCTAGACCTAAATCTAGTTCTAAAATTGGGTTGTCAACTACTTCAAGGCAAGAACTGGGTATGACATGACTGTGGATTCTGAATTGTGCATTACACATAGTAGGCATTCTCACTATTCAACATGTAACTATAAGTCACTAGGCCTTATTCGTACTGTTATCATATCATGGTACTGCAGTGCTTATGTGCACATGGTTGTTCGTGTATAAAGTGCTAATAAATGCACATGGTAAGAACCTACTATATCATGGCAAACAACAGGGGATACAAGGACGGAGTGATTACAAAACAACAGTCCCCTAAAGCTTATACATAAAGTGCTAATAAATGCACATGGTAAGAACCTACTATATCATGGCAAACAACAGGGGATATAAGGATGGAGTGATTACAAAACAACAGTCCCCTAAAGCTTATAGTCTAGTGAAGAAAGACACTTATTGAGTGTATTACACTTATTAAGTGCTACAAACAATAATTCTAAGGTATTGAGGAGAATATATCTGGGTAATAGATTTTAATTTTTATTATTCTGATTGATTCCAATTCTAGGTTGGCTACCTCTGGGACTACCAGTTTTGTTGGAGGTCTGTTAAACTGGAATTTCTTAGAGGGTTAACACTAGATTCCCAAATAAAGATCAAGATTCAAAAAGTTACATCCAATATTTGTGATTAAAAAAAGACTAATTTGTTTTTCTTCTCCTTTCTCCTTACTCTCTACCTCTCTCCCAGCCTGAAGTTCTGGATCAAATACAAAATTTAAGGGAGTTGTGGATGGATAATAATGCATTGCAAGTGCTACCTGGGGTATGTCAGTTTTATTATGCCGTGTTGTCTAACATTTATGTTACACATTGATAATATTTGAAAACAGTTAATCTTAAATCTCAGTGTTTGCATTTCAAAGTAAAGTAACACTTGTTAGGAGTGTTCAGTCACCAAGTTTTTTTCACCAATTTGTTTTTAAGTATTTCATATATCTTTTGTGAATATAATAGGTATGCAAAATGTATGATAGATTTTTGGTGTTCTCTTAGGAATATATTCATCATCTATTTTCACATTCACTGCTTCTAAAACTGAAAAATTCAAATTATATTAAAAGAAAGAGAAATTACAAAATCAGCCTTATTCTTATAGGTAACTACACAATGGTTTCTGCTCATTTTGTTAGAAACCTTCCACAAAATAAAAATCACTCTCAGTTCAGGCAAATAGAACCCATTTGAAATTTTTTAAATGGCAAGGATCATACTGTATTAGAAATAGAAAGTTAGACTGGAGTCAAAGTTTTTCCTCAACTAAAGAGCAGTCCAGTGATATCACCTGGGTAGTCCACCATTGAGTATGACTTCTCCTGCTTTTACCATCTAATGAAAGCATGGCTTCCCATAAAACACTGCCCCTTGCCACTTAAAATACATGCAGTTAAATAAGCGTGTGTACACACACATACACATACACACACACACACATGCACACACACACACACACAGAGCAAGCGTAAGTCTCCCAATTGTTTTGGCCAACTCCAAATTTATGGCATTGGACTAAATAACCAGGGTAGATGGATATGTAATAATTTTTTAGCAAACAACAAAGGTTTAGATGTGTCTTCTCAAAGCCAATTTTATTCCAATTTTGAATTGACATCATTACTTAAAATGATTGCAAAAGCAACAAGAAAAGAAACTTATTTTCTCTTTGAATATGCATAAGACCATATAAAGGAGAAAATCTGGAAAAATATTAGGGAAAAATGCTTTCTTCTCTTATCAAAAAGATACATTTCTACTATCATCAGAGACACAAAACAGAAAAGTATGCACACCTATTTATTGATTTATTCAAAAGGCATTTACAAATACACCTTTATGAATTAGAAACTATGCTAATGTCAGGGTAAAAAGATAATATACTCAACGACCTTGAATATATTTGTTTGAAGAGCGCACATATAGCAGGAGAGACATATCTGAATTCCACTACACACAGTAGAGTTGATTTGTGCCATATTCAGGGTGTGTACAAATGCTAGACCAACACAGGTAAGACACTTGTCAATTTCCTGTGCAGAGATTGAGGAATCTGAATGTATACCTAGTTCGAAGTTTATACCTGCTTCTTCAATACATCTATTTGTTTAAAAAACACTTACATCGCATTTACCACGGACTAAACACTATCTAGATGTTTTACAAATATTGATTCATTGAATCCGCATAACAACCCTATAGAGTAGTTTCAATTATCATCCCCAATTTATAGTGAGGAAACTGAAACACAGAAAGAGTAAGTAACTAACTCAAGGTCACGCAGCCAGTAAATAAATAAGCTGTAATTCAAAACCACTCCAGAATATGCTCTTCACTGTGATGCTCCAAAACGCTGTCTCTATAGAACCAATAGAAGATATAAGTGAGAATTAGGCTCATCTTACTCTTCAGAATAGTTACATTACCAAAATCCAACTGTACAATTCACACACCAAATTCCGTAATAAGTTTATTTAAATGGAAAGATGGTGATGAAATTTTCTGTAAAACATAATTTGTTCTGTTGTGGAAGTAGGTTTTTCATATGTGCCTCTAGGCTACCTTTAAGTAGATTCCTTACTTTATTTAGCACATGTGCATTTGACATTTTGCAATATGCTGT